TCTTTTAGTGTAACGAAAGGGCTACACTGATCTGATTGATGCGATTTCTTAAATGGGGTTTCAGGGTTAGGCTGCATGGCCATGGAACGACAAGCATAGGCATGATGCAAAATCCCACAAATTATTAATGTAATTAAGTTAGATATATGCATATAATGTTTCATAAATGGGGTTGAGTACTAGAATCGGAAATAATTGAGGGAAGGCACGTGGTTTGTTGTTGGAGAAGGGTTATTAGGGCATGTGATGCCCTTGTTTACATGCCCCCTACAAGGAGTGAAGGTCCACCGCAGAGGTCAAACTCCATGCTATGGATTAGATATTGTTGCATTCTTTTGATTTTTTTTCCAAATCGTTACTCCGCTGTATATTTCTTTATCGAAATCTCTTGAGTTTCTAGAAATTTTTAAAATTTCATACCCTTCGACCAATTGTATTCTCATGACATTATTGTTAATAATTTTACGTGGTCCGTCAAAACTAAACATATTATCTGATAGTTAGATACATTTGTCTTACTAATCTATAAATAGTCATTATCACTCAGTGTCAACACCAATACTAACAGTTTATATATAAACTCTCGTGCAAGATTGAAAGGAGGGATCTTGAAATCCTTCTCTCCCTAGTTTCAAGATTAATATTATTATCTTCTTCAATCTATTTATGGTTTTTTTTACATCTGTAAAACTATCGTATGTAACTCTTTATCCGAAATAAAAGAAGTAAATCGTCAAATATCATCGTAGTCACATTTCTTCTACCAATAACAAATATTATATGTTTTGACTCATAATTTCATTTAAAAATGATCTCTTAAATTGATGGTAATTCGAAAATTTATATCACTGTATCAATTTTAACAATAATTAATGTTAAATTCATGATTTTTTTTATTAATTTTGGTAAGTACAAAATAGTATATGTTTAAAGATGATTCTCAATCATTTGACATTGAACGATTATACCCCGAGTAATTTTGGTGTTTGTAATCAGGATCTCAAAAAATAATAATAATTCCTCTACCACCGAAATCGTTTGGTTCGTGCGAAATTCATGATTCTTATTTGAGATAGTTGGACCTCCCCTCTTCATGAAGAATTTAGTGTTGGATTAAGGGACCATTTGGGCTCAACTCCAATAGGCTAAGCTAACCCTTCCAAGTTGGAGCGTTGAAAAGTAACACGACAAGGGGTGAAGCCGTGGACCAATTAATCCTTCATATTTGCTAACCTTTAATTCAATAGCGTAGGACCCTCTCCAACCTTACATGAATAGGCCCTGTCTCCTTTGTGACATTAACGCTTGACGTAGGTAATATCCAATTTCTATAATGGACGGTTCAATACCACTGTTCAAATTGTTGCCTGGGTCCCATTTTCAATTCATCTCCATTATAATTAATTTCGATGAATATCAAAATAATGGTTTAAAATCTTAATTTATAATCAATATTTATAATTATATCCGTAGCTATATCTAATATGGAACTTAAATTCCAAGAAGTCCTGATAAAAAATCGGATTCTATTTATTTATTTTCTTCTTTCCTTTTAATAGACAAATCAGATGTGTTCGGTTTTCTTTTTGAAAAAAAAACCCTACTTTCGAGGAAAAGTATTTGCATAAAGAAAACAAGTCGTGGAAACATTAAACTATGTAAAATTCAAAGTTGGACTTAATTTTTCTTGTCTGTAATTAAAGGGGATTTTTTTAGGGATTTAGGCTGAATAGGCACGTACGTGGAGGAATTCTAGGTCAAATTTGCATGAAATGAATATATATATATATATATATTACAGATCTTACAAGGTACGTAGCAAATAGATAAATTCTACATCGCTTTCTTGAACCATAAAAACCAAAGGCCGGTTCTTATCCAAATAGTTAGCTATCCTAACAAAAATATTTAAATAATACTACTAATTATAAAATTATTACTATTATTATTATTATTAAGGGTTTGATTATAAAATATGTTATATTTTATTAATTTTATAAAATAAAATTATAATCAAACCTTACAAATGATATTATTGATAAAATAATTATGAAATTAAAATATGAATCATAAAACGGACTTTAAAGATAAAACTGAAAAATAAAATTGTTATTGAACCTTGGCGGTCCATACAAATTAATTTCCCATAAAAATGATGACTGTGCGACAAAGACATCCAGCAATGCCTAGAAAACAACATTTATATTCCATTCAAGCTTCAAATTAAATATAATTCATTATTGGCATAATGCGAAAATAAACCTAGTTAGCATATACAATAAATTTAAGCCAATTAGCTAACCTACATCTTCATTTGTGGGGGATTCTATAGTGATATTTGAATATTATTTTCATATGTTTTAATGTATTACTTTGAATTCACTATGTTTAAATATTATTTTTTCTAATTCAAATTCGATTTGTTGTACTAACTAAATATGTATATTGTTAAGGATTAAAAGATTCTGAATACATATCAGTGCAAAACCTATACATGTCAACCAGCACAACGCCATCAAGGGTGTTTCGTATAACATTATCGACGTACTTGCTTTTCAAATTATGGAGTATGGACCCATTCAAATCCAAGTCCCAGTCATGTTATGAGTCTCCTCGACTGTTCCTTTCAAGACAATTGAAGTTTTGTCTACTTATGATATCCAAGTGGGTCGAGATGTTATTAGTATTGTGACATGGAGATGTAGCTGACTCCGGTATACATCAGAGGCCCGGCCGGTTGCGCGGTCGGTGGAGAATCGTTGCCAGCCTAGCTTTAACGTGATTCTTTGCGCCAATATTATGGCCTATGCTTTACTATATGCCATGCTTTGATGGGCCTGAAATGCATACACCACTTGGAGACGAGAGATGATGCTGCACTTTTAAACTAGGGATTACAATCTAACTGAAACACACGGGTTCCGACTTGTTGGATACACCACGACCACGACCACGAGCCGAGCCGAGCCGTGCCGAGCCGTGCCGAGACGAGACGGATGGCGGCGGCGGTGCCCCTTGTTCTCTTTCACTCAACAAGGAAGTGGGAATTTCATACTATAAATACCCATTCCCAATAGTATTTCCAATACTATGTGGGATTGAGCATTACCAACACGACTCAACCCTATTCGATAGGGTTGAATTTTTTAAAATAAAAATCGAGCTCAAGTCGGGTCATGTCAATTTTTTAAGGGTGGTGTCGGGTTAGGTCGAGTTCGGATGAAGGGTGAAAAACTCTTATCCGACCCGGGGATAATAATGTAATTTCTTTAAAAAATTATTATTATTTTTTAATTAAGTTATTTTTATACCGGTCGAGTCGGGTTGAATTTATACTATAAAATTCGGGTCGAATTCAGAATCAGATGGAGGATATATATTTTCGGGTTGGGTCAATTTGACCAAAAACCCGACTCATTACCATCCCTATTCCAAACCCTAGAAAGTTTGTCATTCACATGGACACAAATGTATGATTTTATAAGAAGTTATATTAAAAACATAGGATTATAAAATTACAAAATTTTAAGCGATACGAAATTAGATTATCAATATAAAATATTTAAACTATACGAGAATGTAAAATTTCTAATGCTTCGGCCACGCTCCAACATTCGCTCAATCAATATGTGACATCTCGTTTACTTTTCCATCATATTTAAGCTAATTAAGTTTATTAACTTATGATCACTTGCCATTATGCTTGAATAGTTGAATTGATAACATCTTTGATTCTTAATTCAATCGATTTAATAATTTATTATTTTATTTATACCGAAATGTTTTAATCAAATTTATTATGATGTTGGCTGTAGGTGATGAACATAGATTTTGCACCAATGGCTTGTAGTAGCTTGAGACCCAAACAAAAACCAAAATGAGGATGCAGGTTAGCTAATGAATGTTCATTTCACATATAACGTTGAGGAAAATATTTTTAATTGAATATTATCTTACAATTATCACAGTGACGTACTATTCTCCAACGAGTGTTGGTATAAATGATTGATATTCAGGAATTTGAGTTTGTAAGGTCAAGTTCGAATCCTACTACTGTTACTCTTGGTGGGTAATATATAAATTCTTATGTAAATTCCATTTGAGTTTTAGGTATGCTCTAACCCAAAATTGGAGAATCACCCGTGACCTAAACTTTAGTATTTAAAAGACAGTCACGTATTATTAATATATATATATATATATATATAATTTAGAATTAATTTTGTTGTAAAAATATTACATAATCTGATGTGTAAAGGTCAAGGACCCAAGCCAACTTGCAAACCCAAATTGCAGGTTAGCTTAGCCGGCAAACCTATCCGTATGAATTGGGCCTTGAATAAGAAGTTTATGTTGTTGAATTTCAGTTGGTCTGGTTTAAATTAAAAATAAACTAATTATTGTGTAAATTTAATAATTAATATAAAATTAACAATTTCAAGAGTTTATTTAATTTTTAAACACTTAAACGACATGCATGAGGCCTAACTAACCGCATCATTGTTCACCGCAGGCAGGCCACCCAATGAACGGTGAAACTATGTGATAAGCCAATTCATTATAAGGATCGGTTTAAATTAATCCACTTACTATTATTTAATAGTTGATTTAGTTCATATTAGTAAAATGAATTATATACGGTTAAATTTTTATAATATTAAAATTTAATGTTTAAAAGATTTTTTGTTGTTGTTGGAATTGCGCTATATATGAAAAAATAGTTTTAAGGGACTGATTTGAATCAATTCCCATGATAGAGGGACCTAATAAATGAAGTAGTACAACAAAATAACGTAGTTTTAGTCTTACGTACATTCTCTTTATGCTGAAACAAGAACGATAAAGAGAATTAACTTCTAAATTAGCCTAAACAAGACGTACAAATTATCTAAGGAACAGTGCTTTGCTCCAAGCTAGACAAAGTTGCAGGACTGAGAATAGGGAAAGAGAACCAATTATACGACGACGGTGACAAGTTGAATCCAAGCGAATCCGATGAGTCATCGCAGATTTTGGTTCTGTGGCTTCGTATGATATAACCCAGAAATCATATGCAATGGCTGCGGTGGTGCAACCTGAAGAGGCGGAGGTGGCGGTGCCGCTCTTTGAAGACGAGACGGCGGCGTTTGATGTTGAGACAGGGAGTCGGCCGGAACGATTTCTGCAGCACCACTGGTAAGTTTTTGAACCAAGTCCCGGAAGTTCATAGGGTCTACCTTGTAAACTTTGGGCGGTATCGGTTGCAATGGTGAAACCGCCGGCTTCTTCCATGGCTTTCCCATTGGCTTACGTACCGAATGAAGCGACGCCTGGGAAGACCTTGAGTCCTTAAACCCTCGTGCTAGTGCTGAAGAAGAAGACGATGAATAAGCTTCCATCTATGGCTAATTGCTAAGAGTTTTTATCCCTTTTTATAAATCACTCGAGGAGCTTTAAATCTAGAATATGGAGGATGAATCTGCAGATAAGGTAAAAATTCAAACATTCTTTAGTCAACATCACTTAGCAGCTCGCCATGGTCAAAGTGCCTGAAATTTGACCAATTTTTTTATTCATTAAAAAGATATTATTTTTTCCATATTTTTTTCTGCTCCATCCGTGCCTTCAACGATGTTTCTTCAGGAGGGAAGAGTACGGCTCTATCAGGAGAAGGCGTTTATATCGTGCGGTTGGAGTTGAAGCAGTCGCCACCCGCCGCCGCCTTTGTTGGACTAATCTCTACTGGCTATCCTCTCTTTATATTATATCTATATTGATATTTGATGCAGGTGTGAAACTGACTTTTTATTGTAAAATAATTGAATAAACAAAATATTTTCAATCACACACTATTTAAATATTTGTAAAATATTTTTGTTGTAAATTAAAATCTCATATAAATAATCCATAAAGGGTTAAAGCCTTTCATTTGAACATTTACTTTCAAACTTTTTTTGTGTGAATATTATAAAAAAATTCCTACTACAGTCTCATTTTGATTTTTTAAAGTAATATGAGCCTCGTTAAAAACGTCTATACCTCAATCGAGCCGTAACTCAATCAATAATACGGAAGGAGAAAAGAGTACCCAACTCATATTTATGGTGACATAAGATGATGAAATTGTATGGTTCATGAGTTTGAGACGAATGCTTTATGAAGGGTATACGTTGCTACAATGGATTAAACATATTCCAACCGCATTCATAACATCATTAATCCTCCTCCGCCACAATCGATTATTCGGTTCTTTTAACATCCATTTTGATCCCTCCATTTGAGGTAAACCAGTCCGGCTTGATAATGTGTGACGGAACCGGCGACAACCAGGACGTGAAAAAGTTGGTGACTGTGCCCGGCAATGTCCCAGGCTCCACCACTCCGGAACCCTTGCGGCATAGACCAAAGCTCCAACACCTAACAGAACTCCCATCAGAATATCGTACAAGGTTGTGTGAAGTGCCTCGGGCTGCTGCCAGAACAGGATGAGCTTGTGAATGATGGGTGCTACCACAGAAATGCCCATGCCGAAGAAGAGGGATGCTCATATTTTGCGGAACTCGGGTGAATGGAACATTGGCAATAAGGAAAGCAAGATCGTTGCGATGCCCAATACGGTTATGGATCCGAAATAGAGGTTGCAGAAGAACGGATCACACATGAAAGAGTATACACAGGTGGATTAAAGGAAGTTGCTATAAGAGCAGCAATCCCAGCATAGTCTAGCCTGAGCATGATATACGATAGGCGTTCAGAGTGGCATGAAAGGAGGTGGCAGGTGCTGCTAGCTAGCAAGCAAAACATTGCACCACCCAAGAAGGCAAAAAAAGGCCATCGGGTTATCGGCTCCTTCATACCTTGCTGCAATTTAGAGAACATAAAAAGTATAAGCTGCATGAATCCCCCAAGATGCTAAGTCAATCATTTAACAATGGAAAGAATAATAGAGCTATATACATTGCTTTAACTTCCCACCCGAAAAGTATCACGGATATCATTTTCGCAATGGAGCCCAAGATATAGCATGAAAAACCCATGTTTATGCATTTTTTATTAAACAATAACACTGCAGAATCGTATACAGTTAAGGAACTTTCGAACTATCACCATTGTGGTAGCTGATGCCACACTGCTAAACACCTCACTGCTCAATATTAAAATCCTTGTACATTTACAAACCATAAGTTCGAGTTTGATGTTTCAAACCTTAAGAACAAACTCGGGGTTGTCTTGTCTGGAATTCCCTCTTCTTATATCGTAACTAAGTCTAACTGCATCTTATCCTAAAGTTATAGAGAAAACCAGATCAAACATTGGGGAAAAAATAAAAAGTAATTGATAAACATTTACGGATACGAAGAGCAATAAGAAGTAATGTAAGTCCACTTATTTCAAAATTAGTTGCAGTGAGATAATTACAATGATAAAATGGGAAAATTTCACAGGCAATAAACACTGGAAAAACAATTAGCATTATTCAAGTGGAACCTCAAAGAACAGCTAATGATTAGAAGGGCAGTCAGCCATCACAGGTACTGAAATTAGGCGAACTATTAAGATTTATGAGATAACTTTTTAAGTACATAACCATACCAGAACTTGAGCATCAATGAGATTTCCAGCAGAGAAAAGCTCAGGTAAACAACTATGCAGGTGTTCCATAACATGCCAACTTGAGATTGAAGGAACCAAATCCATTAAAGGAATAGAAGTTTTTAACTCTTCTCGAAGTTTGTTCAAATCAGGCATATTTGGTAAAGAAGGCAAGCATGTCCGAATTTCTGATTGCAATTTGTGTAAATCAGCCTTTTTCAATGCATCGGAAATCTGCTGCAAAGCTTGAAGATCAACAATCTTCGGAACCTTCATTGCAGTGTATATGGTAAGGGAAAGGAAAATGAAGAACCCAATCAAATGCCTGAAAAAGGCAACAGTCATACACAACATATCATAGCACAAATGGAAACATATCAATCCATGATCTAACAAAGCAAAGTGGTCACCTCAGAAACAGGAATTCGCAGACTTTAATAGTATAATACTAAAGAAAGTGGTACATTCCAATTGATACTAGCATGAAAGTTACCTCACAAATCAACACATGTTTACATCTCTTCCCTAAATCCCTAATTCTTCTCTTTCCAATTCTAAATAGAGAGGTCAAACCACAAGTAATCTGCTCATCACAGTTTTCACGAGCCACCCTTCTCCAAGTGTACTCAACTTGGTACATTCTAACGCGTGTGATCCTATGAAGAAAAGGACTAGAGGGGGTTCGTACTTTGTCAACTTCGTTTACGATCAAGGAAGATTTGGGTATATACATTAAAGACAAAGGATCAAGTGCTACAAGTGTTAAAACAGTTCAAAGCTTGAAAGAGAAACAGGGAGGAGTTGAAATGTACCAAAACAGAAATGAAACCGTCTCCACGGACCTTTTGATGAATATGCGATTCGATATCATAAGACACCTCATCTAAATGGATTAGCTGGGAGAATAGACAGACCATCAATGGAAAGGTCAGATGTTTCCAATGTTCACTTGCGAGTCTTCGTACGTAAGGCATATGTGCACATTCCCAAGGTGAGAAATTTAAACTAGAAAAACCTAACAATGATACAATCTATCCTCATAACAAGTTTAGCCATAACTCATAAGTTATATGATACAATTCAAAACCAAAAAAATCATAAACGGTGATGTGGTGCTAGTAGAAGATCGACTAATGCCATTGATAAGGAAGACACTAAGCTAGCTAGCATTTCACAACAAGATTAAAATGGGGTCCTATTAAAAACAAGCAAAGAAAGCTTACGTCCAAACATTCAAAGTCTCGTTGTGAATTGTGAAGACGCTAAGCAAAATCTGCTTCATCGGCCATTCTGATCTATAATGGCCTAAAATACACTCATTGTCCCTAAAAAAATCCAGGTAATGAGTGGTACTCTACCAGCTGGTACTTCATCTTTTTCCACAATCTCTTTCTTGTCCCTTGCTTTAAAGAGCTCGCCAAGCATATATATCTTCACTGTTTCATCTTCATGAACATCCAACTTATAAAATAAAAATAAAAAAGACCCAGTACGGAAAAGAAACGAAATAAAAAGAGAAAAGCGTACCTGAAACAAAATAAAGAAGAAAATGGAAGAATCACCAGCTGAGAAACCCAGACGGGATCCTTCAATAAATACAGAATTCTCAGGCGGAGGACTCTAAAACAATCAAATCATATATACAGAGATTAAAACAAAGACACGGCAATCAAGTTAGATAACAAAGTACGAGAGAGAAAAACTAACCGCAAAAATCTTAAGCCGGGGAAGGAAAGTCACGACCCTAGCAAACAAAAGAACAAAACTTTGAAGCTAAAGAATGAAACCGTATTCAATGCGACATGCTAAGTTAAGAAAACAATAATAGAAAATCACAACAAATGGAAGATTGAATGAAAGAAAAAAGAATCAAATTCGATGAAGAGATGCGGAAATACCCAAGGTGATCAGTTTCGTTTGGTTCCCACTGTTTGAACGGAGCACGTGGATTAAAATGTTATGAAATCAAAAAAAAATTAAAATAAAATTAAGTTTTTATTTTTATTTAATTAAATTTTCATTTGGCAATAAAAAAGTAATTAAACTGTAGATAAGTTTTACTAAGATCTCAAGTACAATCCTCCTTAATAGTATTTTAATTTAATTTTAAGATGGTGATATAATTTAAATTAAATATTAATTTTAATAAAAATTACCTTAATTTAATGGTTAAGTTTGAATCCCCTCCCTCCCTGGCTATACAACTTATTTTTCTTTGTTTGAGTGATTAACATTTATTTTTATTAATTTGAAATAAGTATAAGATAATATTTCTTTACTATACAAATTATTTTCGAGAGAAAAATATATGAAAAAAAACATCGCCACCGTTAACGTCTGCTGACAAAAAATTAATATTTCTGATATATTTTTTTAAAATGTAATAATTTGATGGTCAAAGTAAAAAAAAAGTTATATGTTAGTGACTAATCATATAATTTACCCTTTAATTTTTAGTAACAGAATTGGAGTGATCAGATGAGTTATTTGCTTGTTTCCTATAGTAAGATTAAATCAAACTAAAATTTCACCTTCGTTAATGAAAAAATAATTTTACAAAATACTCCGAGAAAATTACCTTTTCTTTTTCAATGATAATAAAGATAATTATTATTTTTATATAGATTTGTAAAAGAAACGTAAGCAAGAAAGAAATGTTGGCGGGTAGAAGAAAGTACTGGATTTTAATATGACCTTTCAATAATGCAGCCAACGTGATTAACTTGGTATATCACGTGGTTTTGGTTTTTTTTGGATAAACTACACATTTAATACCTAAACCATTAATTTTAATCCATTTTAATACCTCAACTTTCAGTTTTTTTCAAAACCATTAACATTTAGTTTTTGTTTCATTTTAATACCTAACAGTTAAAATCTTAATGCATTTAATTCCTAAATTATCAATTTTAGTCCGTTTTAATACCTAAACTTTCAATTTTTTTTCAAAAATTACATTAAATTTTGAATAGGATACTAAATGAAACAAAAACTAAACTTTAAATATAGTTTTTAAAAAAAGTTAAAGTTTATATACTAAAACGGACCAAAAGTAATAGTTTAGATACTAAATATGTAATTTACCCCTTTTTTTTACCCAACAAGCTTTAAAGTTTCAACAGACAGATGCTATATCTGCACTGCTATCATAAATGAATGGAGGAGAAATTAGATAAAATGGGAAAGACCCACTTTCCCATTTGGTCGCTGTTGATCACATTTATTTTGATCCAAATTGTCACAAACAGATACATCAGAAATGTGCAACAGAGAAAACCTGAGCAGAGGAGTCTCACAGCTTGATTTATGGTTGAATAAAAGAAACAGGATCTGCAACATTAACTTAATCATTTAGCAGATACAGCAGGTCCCTTCCACTTGAAGTTATCCGCATACGACTTCGGCTGCAAACATATATTTTATGACATAAGATATACTGCATGCAAACATATGTATATACCCTGATCTAGATGTCTGACCGAATTAAAAGCTCGACCGTTATGTGGCTATCAGTGTTATATTTAGACTACACAGCATCTTTAAGAAGATTCCAATGTGATACGGGGGTGCCTAAGAAATACAGTTTCTAGTATAGACCATTACACTAAATCAATCAAATCAGCATTTGGAAATATAACAGAAGAAATTACTATGGACTCTTATCTCTCTCTAAGTTAGAGTTCCCCCAGGTAAAGGGTTTTCCGAAGCGTTTCTTTAGAATGTCTCATTCGAAAGAGGATGATGTTAATGAACTTTCAAGATCTTATAATTTATTTTAAATGAATCTTGGGGCCTACTAATGTGGGAGCTCACTGGGTTGCAGTCAATTACTGCAAGAGGATGTGCAAGTTTAATTGTGTTCAAACAAACCTTTCATCTTTGTGCGGTGTCTTGTTACGAGACAGATTACCATGTACCATCATCGATATGGGTTCTAGCTGTTTCTCTTTTAATCTTTGTATTGTTTCCAGCCAAAAAAGAGGGAATTACCATGATTCCAAAGAAAAATGTCTGGTCAAGGATCAAGGCAGTGCAGGACCTGAATGCAGTCATTCCCCTAAGCTCTAAAAGTTCATGCACTAGTTTGTTTAATCAGTTTCCTTTAGAAATTTAGAGTTGGTTTTCATTCTTCTGCCTAGCTGAAATAACTAACCATGATTTTCAGTCCCAAACTTGCTACTATGTAGGCTCATGTAATAGAAACAGAATTGGGGCACAAATTCAAAAGAAAGAGTTTAAAGTTTCAAACCTTCAGCACTGGTGTCTGGCGCTTTTTAACCTGTATAAACGAGTTCAAGATGTAGCGCCAATTAATTTCTCACGATAGATAGGGTATGGTTCATTAAAGGAAAACATTTTTGTAACAAAATAATCAAGTAAGCCATCTAACAACAAGTGCGGAATCAAAACTGACTTTGCAGCAAAAGAGTGAAGGAAAAGAAAAGATAAGCGCATACCACATAATCCCATCCATGTCTCTCGGCAAAAGACTTAGCGGCTTCTTCACTATCAAAACCAAGTGCAGAATCACCAACATGAGCATAAGGGTCCCCTGTTGATGTCCAACCCATCAATGGGTTCTCCCACCTGAACCATATTATTCAATGACAAGAAACTATTGATTTTGAAAATCAAGGTTACAAGAAAAACATCTAAGATACTTCCACATAACAAGATCAAAAAGAAGGCACCAACACTCCAAATATGGAATTGTGGCCTACGGAAAACAAGTTTTCAAGAACGAAACCTATGTTAAGCGATCAGTGAGTGCTGGGTACGAGGATTTGTCTGACATGAGTATGTTATAATCTTTCTATATGTGTCTATATAATAGAACAACCCTTTTGAGGGCCATATCCCTATACCAATGTTCAAAAATGTGCTCAACGCAAGTGTAGTGAAGAGTTGGAGCAACATAGAACAAAACCACAGACCAGAACGAACATAACAGGACTCCAAATAGGACTACATGCAACAAAATGTGCAAAACTGAAGATTATCACTAGCTTAATTCCATCGTTTGGATTTTCTTCCATTTACAAGAATCAGCAGAGATTACGTAGGATCACATTCAACTAGAGGAGTTACTACTATTCTAACATGAAATTGGCAAATTGACACACACACACACACACACAAAAGGATAAACTTATACGGCTAAAACGATAGGAAAATTAAGGTTAAAGGAAAAAAGGGGGAGGAACATACTTTTGTGTCGACACAAAATTGATCTTCCACCTACCAACTTTCCCAGATCCTTGTTGAGTAGCAGTTCTCGCAGGCGAGTAAATCACAACCTACGACGCAAATCAAGCGTCGTAATAATTATATATTACATATTGTTTAAAAAAATAGAAGGAAAAACTAACGATCGATAAAAAAAATCCTAAAAACGATTAAATTTTGAAATTTACCCTCCTACGAAGATGTTCTTCAGGGATTCCGGATACCATTCCGACCTCGCCTGGCTTGACCTCAACCAATGCATCTGAAGAGAAGGTTCTCGAGAATGAAGCCAAGGCAGTCCGAGCCACTCGAACTTGGCTCGTTAGTTTTTGCAGCGAGTTCGAGGCGGCCATCTACCTCAGAATCTATGCTCTGCTGAAAGTGAAATATAACTTCTTCGATTTTTCAGATTAGGAATATAGGATGCAAGTGAATAAGTGGTTAATTCCTATACGTTTATGAAATTGGCTGTGATGTTGGGTATATAAAAGCCCATCAGAAGCAAAATCTGTAGTTTTCTCACTGAAACTTTGTTCTTCGGCCGTGGAAAAGGGAAAATAGCCCAAAACAAGTTTGGCCTTTAAATCTCCTTTTTAGATCCAAAAGCCCAACAAATCTCAAATTAACCGTAATTTTACCATTATCCACCATATATCTTCTTTCTCAAAACCCTAGTTCCCCATGCTTACTCCATTAGCCATCTCCAGGTCGAAGAGGAGCAGAATCCAAACACTTCAGCTACTGCAAAAATGAAGTTCAACCCACGAGTCTCCTCCTCTCGCCGCAAGAGCCGCAAGGCCCATTTCACGGCGCCCTCGTCTGTCCGCCGCGTTTTGATGAGCGCACCACTTTCATCCGATCTGAGATCCAAGTACAACGTCCGGTCCATGCCGGTCCGCAAGGACGACGAGGTCCAAGTCGTCCGAGGAACCTACAAAGGCCGGGAAGGGAAAGTGGTTCAAGTATACCGCCGCAAGTGGGTTATCCACATCGAGCGCATCACTCGCGAGAAAGTGAACGGTTCGACCGTGAACGTTGGAATCAACCCATCGAAGGTTGTCATTACCAAGCTGAGGCTCGACAAGGACCGCAAGTCCTTGCTGGATCGTAAGGCCAAGGGACGTGCCGCCGCTGATAAGGACAAAGGCACCAAGTTTTCTGCTGAAGATATCATGCAGAGTGTCGATTAAGGTTCTCTTGTTTCTTTTACCTTGTGATGTTGCAACTGTTGGACTTGCTTGTAGTTTTTTTGCTTATGTTATCAATTGGTAATAAGGTGAAGAATCTGGGATTTTGTAGACTTGATACTGCTATATGTTTCGATATTTGCAATGTTATTCCCATTTTTACCTTCAATTGTTTTCTGGGTTTTTGAATTGAGTTCATTTGAATGATATTCAATCGTTTGCTTTTAGCACTAAGATTTTTCTTATTGGGATTGTTTAATCGTCTTTTAGATTGCAACAATATTCTCGACTGATCTTCAACATTGGGCCAGCTTTATTAACATTATTTTCAACATTGTATTAACATTTTAGAATTTGGTAGAGTTAAGGTTACATAGATTTGTGATTGGGTTTAGGAATGCAACCATATTTCATTTATTTGTGCTGCTCTAAAGGGTAAACTACATAAATAATCCCATATGTTTCTTTTTACCTTATTGATGATTCAAAACTAATTGATTTGGTCACTTGTGTGACTGATTTATAACAGATTGATCGCCCTCGTTAATAGTTGTTATTAGAAGTGACATAATGCTGATGTGCTGTGTTAATCGGTTGTTTTCCTATGAGAGATCGGCAGTGGTCAATAGTTTTTCTTTCCCCCACATTACATGTTTACATGGTTTCCTTCTTCCTGTCTCCCCTTAATTTACCTTAGTTCTTACTTTTCAGCCACAACCATTGTTTTTTCTTCTCTTTTTTTAGGACTCTACCTGTGCTTCTTTTTCTTCCTTCTTTTCAACTTCAACAATGGCTTCTTTCTCTTTCTTTTCAGCCTGAGCAACGGCTTTTTCTTTCTGTGCTTCTTCTATCTCTTCTTCTGGTAAGTCAATCCATTACGAAAAAAATATATTACGATTATGGAAAATTAAGTAATACCACAATATATAATACCGATAGTAACCGATATGGTCTTTATCAAAATAGAAATAATATTAAAGTGTGATTAAATTGAATTTTTAAACTTCATTGATAAAAATGAGAACAAAAGTAAAGTTGAGTGATGAAATTATAATTTGTCCTTAAAATAATTATTTGTTCTATTGTAAATAAATTTTAATTAAAAAATTACAGACAATTTAATTACAGTCTTAATAAGTATGATGTCTCCTAATCTCTAACAAGCCCTCAATAATTAGTATCCTAAATACTCTATTCCCCCCCCCCCCTTAGCATTGTAATATGGTTAAACCCAATAAGTTCAAGAACATTTTCAATACATATGTGTATGCCATAGCCCTCAAAAATAACCTTCACTTTTTTTTCTTTTCTTTTTTTTTAAAAAAGTACCCTTGATTTAAATACTCTTTCAATGAAAAGACAAATAAATAGGAGTAATAATTTAAATATTTTATTTAAACACGAGACTAATAATTCTTTTTCAGTCTTATAAAAATATTAGTTATTAATTGATTATTTAAAACTAAATTATTTAAAAAAAATAAATATTCAAAATTATCAAATATTAAAGTCATAATTGAAACAAAAATTAAGAGTTTTTATTGTCATTAGGGCTATAAATGAGACAGACCGATCGTGAGTTACTTGAGATCGACTCGGTCAAAACTTGATAAACATTTTACTTGAATGAACTCGACTCGAGCTCAAGCTCAAATCGAGTTCTTAACGAGTCAAAACAAGCTACTTGATACTTGACTCAAAAAATTCGTGAGCAACTCAAAAATATAATATATTAAAATTTATCTTTTTAAAATTTAAACTATTAATAATATTAAAATTTATGTATTGATTTTTTTTAAATATAGTAGAAGATTTTCATGTATTTATGGTTTAGGTTCGAGTCTGAGTTTTGAACTTCAATCGAGTTAGTTTAAGTTTTTTTTCATTTCGAGCTTTTGCGAGCTTTAATTCATGATTTTGAGTTCTGATTGAACTTAAAAATTTTAGGCTTACAAATTTTCAAATCGAATCAAACTTTATTTGAAAGATTTTTAATCGAATTGAGTTCAACAATATTAGAGTTTGACTCGTTTACATCCCTAATTGTTAGTATCCCTAAAGTATTGGAAAACTGAAGTATTACACCTGATAAACGGACCCACTCACGACCAAACTAACCCGGTCCCATCAACTTTTCTGAAAAACTCGTTTAATTTTGGATAAAACCAATAATTAGGGGTGTATTCGATTCGGTTCGATTCGGTTTTTTACCAAAAATTAAACCGAATCGAAATAAACAGGTTTTCAATATTTAAACCGAAACTGAAATCGAATAGTTAAAAAACCGAAAAAATCGAAACCGGTTTTTTCGGTTCGATTCAGTTTTTTTAACGGTTCGGGTTTTTCGGTTCAGTTCGATTCGGTTTATCGGTTTTTTAATAAAAAAAATCACTTGAAACTATAATTTTTTTTACAAAAATTGCTTATTCGATTCAATATGGAACAAATGGGTTCCATATGGAAAACTCGAACCGAACCGAATCAAAAAAATGAAGCCTTTATACCGAACCGAAAACCGAACCGTTTAAAGCCAAACCAAACCGAACCGAACCGTTTTACTCGGTTCGTATCGATTTTTCGATTTTCTCAATTTCGTTGTTCAGCCCTACCAATAATAGATGTATGGAACTTATTTCTCGTAAAATGTGAAGTCTAAAATCATTTTTTTCAGAACTTGAGATCATTTTATATGAACATTTTAGGGATATTTTTCTAACTAATACTATTTGAGAAGTATTGATCCGATAAATGATTTTTAAAAAAAATTAAACTAATAATGCTTATAATTATACTCTCAAAACATTAAAATAAATACTATAATCTGATATAACTTCAAAGTAATTGCATAAAAAAGAATATCATACGTAATCAAAATGTGTAAAAGCATCATAGATATGTGATACTCGGTGAATTTCATGCTAACATGACTTTCTGGTCAAATGAAACTTTACGTGAATTATTATTTTTAATTTTAAGATTAGAGTATATAAATAATTATTAAGTTATATTAAAATACTTTTTAGGAATAAAATTTCGACTTATTAAAAATATAAGGAATGTTATACACAATTATGATACTAAAAATATATTAATCAGTCATAAATGAATGACTCTCTTGACTGCAAGTGGCCAAGTTGGAGAGCAGCAATCTGAAAGTTGATGCGGAGCTGACGTTATTTTTTATTGTACAAACAGTGCAAATACATAATCAGATATATATATATACAAGTAAAAATATCAAAGTTGATGTATGATTATGACATTATCTTAACACAAGAACAAACATATATATATATATATATACATATACATATGTTATAATTTTTTAATTTTACACATTTAAAATTATTAGATAAATAAAAATAAACGATTGAGGTTAACACTAAAGAATAAAATTTGATGAATAAAAATTATATTCTCAAGAGTATTGTTATAATCCATAAACTAAACGTTCCATAATATTTTAGGACGCTTATGAATACATAATTCGTTAGATGTAATATCCAAGAAGTGAAATTAAACAACGAGATTTGTTCAAATGATAAGCAATTTGATATCGTTTAAATAAGTTTTGAGTTTGATTTATTATACATGAATAAAATCTCTGTTGGGAGACTTATCCACCATAACCAAACGTACAACCCGAGTTGATCCGTACCATGTATGCATTTTTTAATATCGTTTTAAAAACTTATGTTTACTAAATATATAATATTTCATATTCTTATATTCGTACCATGTATGCATTTTTTTAATGCTTTGCTTTTGCTGATGCTGGAGATTGTTTTCTTCCACGTCAACGAACACACTCCTTAAAGCCCAAATGAAAGAAGAAAATCCTTTGCTAATGAGGGTTTTATCTGACCAATAAAGATTTCAGGGCTTTTAGGCCTATAAGTCAAAACTTAAAGGGTAAATTACATGTTTAACTATCAGTTTGATCCGTTTTAGTACATAAACTTTCAATTTTTTCAAAACATACATAAAATTTAGTTTTTGTTTTGTTTTAGTATCTCGTCGTTAAAAACTTTAGTTTATGTTTCATTTTAGTACCCCACTCAAAATTTAACGTTAAGTTTGAAATAATTGAAAGTTTAGGCACTAAAACAAGCCAAAACGGATAGTTTAGGTACTAAATATATTAAGTTTTTAACGACGGGTACTAAAATTAAATGAAAACTAAACATTATGTATGATTTTAAAAAAATAAAAGTTTAGGTTTTTAAAACAAACAAAAAAAATAATATTTTAGACACTAAATGCATAATTTACCCAAACTTAAAAGATCCCTGAGCCTCTTAGCTAATTTAAACTTAATTTAATTAGGGTAAAGTACACAAATGGTTTCCCAACTATATGATATTGTTTTATTGAATTTTTTTACTATTGAATGCTACAAAATAATCATCCAACTATTCATATGTTCCAAACTCGTCATACTCCATTGAATAATTGACGGTCGTTTGAGCTGAGTATTACTATGCTGACTGAGATATGATAAAATCTGAACTCAAAACCCTTTGAGTTGTATTTTGTGGATTGAGTCTCCATGTACATTATGTCGTCGAGCCAATGCTTAGAAGAAACGACGATGGCTACAAACATCATTAAAATATAATTTTATCATAACTTAGTAAGCAGATTAACGTTTAGTTCAGACGTCAATTTTTAATGAAAATGATGATTTTGAAACATATAAATAATTGATTGATTATTTTATAATTTTTAATAATCAGAGGACTCAATAAAATAATATCATATAGTCGGGGATCATTTGTGTATTTTACCCTTTAGTTCATAGTCTTTAATTAAGTCTTAAAACATTTAGTGCTTCTAGCTTAGGTGTTAAACTTTTGAGGTTTGTTTTATAGCCTTAAATTAAGTTGTAACACTTAGGGTGCGTTTGGTTCATAGAATGTAAGATTACCAGTGTGAATAAAAGATTATCTGGAAATAGGATTATTGGAATGTTATATTTTGTGTTTGGTTGGTTTAACAGGAATGTAAGATTACAGTGTTTGGTTAAATGAATAAAAGATTATTGAAATGTATATTTTATCAAATTGTCCTTATTATATATTTGTTTTTTAACAA